CTGCCCCATCTCTGGTTACAAGACCCCTTTTCTCCAGGACCTTGCCGCCTTCTAGCCAGCATCTTTTCCTCCTAACTAGTTGAGGCTTGAGGTGCCATGCTGGAAATCAGACCCAGGACCTCCCCTGTGCTAGGCAAGTGCTCTACCACTTGTCTGCACCCCATCTACATCTCTAGCTCCTGTTCTTCATTTTGGATGCATGTGAGTTGCCTCCAGAACGGGTGGCTTTTTTTTTTTTTCCTTCCACCGAGTTTGCCATCCTTATAGCTCAAATGCCTCTTAAATGCATGCCTCTGATGGAGTGCTTGCGCCCTGCATGGGAAGCCTCACCTCAAGGGTTAGATTATTTCAATTTAAAATGATGTAACCATATGATAGAATCCTTAGAAAATGCTAGGTCAACTTGCTGTAGTCCTGATCACTGCAATAGAGAACATTCTCATTTTGAGTTTTTCTCCCTTTCTGTTAATGACGTTAGGTATCCAATCAGCTTGCTCTTTGGTTCTGTTCTTAGCACTGTTTGTTTGAGACAGCTCTCACTGTGTAACCTAGGTTGGCCTCAGACTTATGGAGGTTCTCCTGCCTCAGTCTCCTAAGTGCTGTGATGACAGGCACAGGCCACCACCGTGCCTGGTTTGTTCTTGGAACTCTTTTTGTTTTTTAATTTATTTATTATTTTTATTTTATGTGTATGCGTGTATTGCCTGCATGTAGGTAAGTGCACCTGTGTTGTGCAATGCCTGAGGAAGTCAGAAGATGCTGTCAGATCTCCTGGGACTGGAGTTACGGACAGTTGTTAGCTGCCATGTGGGTGCTGGGATTCGAACCTGGGTCTTCTGCAAGAACAAGTGTCCTTAACCGCTGAGCCATCTCTCCAGCCCCTGTTCTTGGAACTCTTTACTGGTGACTGTTAAAGCTATAGACTTTGAGATGGCCACCCTGTGCCTCTTGCCATTCAGGGTCAGGAATCTAGGGAGGGCAGCATTCTGGGCTTGTTGACATGAGTGCAGGCACAGACCCTGCCCCTGGGGCCTAGCAAGGGACAGATGCTCCATCGGAGAGTTTTGGCTGTTCTTGGTCTTGAGCCATTGATGAGATCCTGTATTTGGGATTTGGGACCTAACTGAGGGTGATAAGAGGGGCACCTTCCAGCCTGAATCCTCCCTAGGGCTCAGGCTGCCTCTGCAGGACCCAAACACACCCCATCTGACCCAGATTTGGGAGATTGTACACGTAGTTAGCTGCCAGTGGCCCATTCCAGGATTGGATTAATCTACTTTCATTTTGAAAAGGGAACTCTGGGGCTCCCCAGCATCTTCTGTGAGAATGGGAAAGCAGATCAAAAATGGAGAGGCAGGAGAGGGGTGGGCACAATTTACACCCATACTGCAGTGTACCCTCTACAGGGCACAGGGGCATCCTTCAAGTTAGGACCTGGAATGGGATGCGTCTAGGCTTGTCCTTCATCCCTGCATGGGGATGCAACTGTGTATTTTGGGGTGGCATAAGGAGAGCTAGTGGTGGGGCCTCGAGCACAGCACTGGGCTGCATTCCAGCAGCAGCTGGGCCTGTGCTCGCAGCCAGCCTGGGTAGAACCAGGTGCCCTGCGCAGACCATGGCAGCACTTCACAGTGGCTCTCTGTTCTGAGTGCCAGGCAGGGGCGGGGCCTCTCGTCAGCACCCTGCTCACGTCCCCGCCAGGCTGAGGCCTGTCCTGTCCCCCTAGAGGCCCCACCGTTGCAGGAGCCTTAGATACATTTGCTGGGCTTTCTTTAGGGAGGTCAAAGGTCCAGAGGGGAACATGCAGTGCCTTGTTATTGGTGTTGGATCTTGTGGCCACCCGTGGCTGTCAGAGCCTTGAGAGGTGGCTGGTGCGTTTAGGGAAATGAATTTATTATTTTAGTTTATTTGAATTAAAAAACAAAACAAAACACCAGGTATTTAATTCCGTTACCAGAGACTGTGTGTTTAGAACAATAAGGGAATTGAAGTCTATATAGAATCCAAGTTTTTCCAAATTTCATACAGATTGAGAAGTGCTGTAACTGTAAAGTACACTCTGAATTTCAAAGATAAATTGGAAGAGTAAATTGACTCAGTAGTTTTATCTTTATGTGTTAAATGATTACATTTGGATATGTTGGCTTAAAATATATAATGAAAATATTGTCACTTTTTTTTTTTTTAAAGTGGGCTACTGGAAAATTCAAAGTTACTATGTGTCTTGTATATGATGAGCAGCGTTGGCCTTTGAGGATGCTTTTGCTGGAAATGTGATTGATGGTCGTTTTAGGGCAACCACTTAATGGCTTGGGAGCATCTTTGATCATTGAATTAGGATTTAGGAGACTACTGGTATTTTAAAAGAAGCACTTTTTAAAAATCCTGTTTAGAAAACATTGCTCCTTTTTTGTTGGTGGTTTTTTGAGACGGTGGCTTGCCATGTAGCCCAGGCTGGAAGCTTAAGAGCAGCCTTCTTGTTCTCCTGCCCCAGCCCCTTGAATGCTGGAATTACAGGTGTACACCAGCACGCCCTAAAATAGTATTTCTTCATTGCATAAGTAATACCTTTCTTGTGTGGAATTAGAAAATCCTGGTTAAATGAAGTTAATATGTTTTGGAAAAGAAGTTAATATGTTTTGGTTTTCTACCAGTACTGCTTCACAGAGACCTTCTAGATTATCTGGAAAATGGTAAAGAAAGCTTTATTTCCCATACCTTATCCCATTTGTAGACTGTTGCATGGTGGTCCAGAGACCTAGAGACGGGCTGCAGGACTTGGAATGGGATACAGATGGTTGGCGAGGAGGGCCTTGGTTCCCTCACAAGGTAGCCTGATGCTAGAATCCAGGGGAGGGCACTGCCTGCCAGGATGGGCTTGTTGGCAGGAGAACTCTGTTTTCCAGATGAGTTGGCTGGGAATTGTGCTGTGTGCTAGCCTGAAGGAGGGCTCAGGCTGTTCCACAGTTCTTTTACTCATGTGCTACACTGACCTGACTTGTCACCCCAGGGATATTTGAGAAAACAGTTGTAGTTGAGGAGGCCATTGTGAGCCCACACAAAGCTCCAATATGGAGTGGAGAAGGCCTGTGTTAGAGTGGGGCATGCTCCTGCCTTTCCCTCTCCTTCCAGTTTCTAGTGTGGATGGGAGCCACGGAGAGAAGGGGGGGGGTCTTCTTTGGAGGGGCTAGCTTCCCCCAGTAGCTTTCCAGGGCCCCTCACGTCTTACCTTGTGGTTTTGAGATGGGTTTGAGGTACTCAGCTGTGGGACAAGACCTTGAGTAATGATTCTGCTTCTCAAGGATGAATGCAGGCACTACCTCTGTACTGCAGTGGGACTCTGGACTCAAGCTGCCTCTCGGCAGCAATCCTTTTTTAAAAATTTATTTTTAGTGTATGAGTGTATTGTCTGCGCATATGTAAGTGCACCTATGTTGTACAATCCTCATGGAGGTCTGAAGAGGGTGTCAAATCCCCCTGGAACTGGAGTTACAGATGGTTGTTAGCCACCATGAGGGTGCTGGGAACCAAACTCAGGTCCTCTGCAAGAGCAGCCATTACTCTTAACCGCTGAGCCGTCTCTCTAGCCCCAGCAGAAACCCTTTTCAACAGGCACAAGAAGAGCTTCCCTGCGGAAGGACTCCTGCCGGGGCACTGATGTGCAACCCACTCCTTTCCTTGCTTTCCACAGAACTAGATAGGTTTTGGTTTGTGTGCATGCATGTGCACCTGTGTGTGCACCTGTGGAGCCAGAGGTCAGTTTGAATGGCTTCCTCTATTGCTTTCCACTTGATTTTTGTTTAGGGTTTTTTGTTTTGTTTGGTTTGGTTTGGTCTTTTTGAGACAGGGTCCTGTAGCACCAGCTGGCCTGGAACGCAGAGATCTGCCTGCCTCTGCCTCCCAAGTGCTGGGGCTAAAGGCATGTGCCACCATGCCTGGTTTAGGATTTAAAAAAATTTTTTTTTGCTTTTGAGAATCTCTCATTGAACCGGGGCTATCCACCTGTCTGCCCCTCCCACCCCTGACACTGGGGTTACAACTGTGCTGCCATGCCTGGCTTTTACATGGGAGCTGGGGATCTGAACTCAGGTCCTCATGCTTGTGCAGCAAGCACTTCACCCACTGAGCCATCTCTCCAGCTCCAAGTTGGGTTATCCTCTTCCAGTTTGGAAGAACAAGGCACATTTGAGCAGGAAAGACTGACCCTGCCCAGCCCAGGGAATGCCCAGGGCTCTGTGTGGCAGTGCAATCACCACTAAGAGAGCAGAACTCCAGGAAGACACAGATGAGGGAGGAGGCTGTGACTGGTGACTGTGCCTGACCTTTCAGAAACTCTTGTCTGAGGATCAGGAGGCAGTTCTTGTCCCCAGGACCCCCTCCTCTGACTAGGCCGAGAAGCCCTGATATGTTCTGGGTTTATTGCCCTAGGAAATCACTCTCCTGTGGAAAAAAGCCTGCTCCTCCAGAACTTACCTCAGAGCCCTGTCTTACGCCCAGACCGTCCGTCCTTAGCTTGTAAAGCCTTGATAGCATCTTCATTTTTTGCTCTCTACTCTTTTTGTTTGTTTGTGGCCCCAGCAGGCCTAGAATTCTATGTAGACCAGGCTGGCCTCAATCTCGAAGAGGTCTCCTGCCTCTGCCTCCCAAGTGCTGAGATTAAAGCGTGCATCACTATACCCAGCTTCTGTATTCTGTTTTAATTGCACAAGGCATATGAATGAAAATAATTCAGGATAACTTTTAAAAGGTTTTCAACCCCAGCATGTCATTTATCTTTTCTTCCAAGTTTCTGCCTATGCAACCATCCTTTTTATTTGATGATGATCAAGGCAATATGAGTAGACTCTGACTTGAACAGCCCATGCTATTATTCATCGCCTTCATGGCTGCCATATACTGGCTGCATACTCCTCCAGTGACTTGATTAGCTGTAATTTTCCTAATCACCCTTTACTCCTGTTTCCTGTTCTTAACGTGTCTTTCCCCCTTTGTCTCCATAGGAAGTTCTCCAGCAGCTGATCGTAATGAATTTGCCTAATGTTTTGATGATTGGCAAAGACCCACTGTCTGGTGAGTGAAATCGTACCATCCCCACCCCCTGTAGCGCCTGGGGCGTGCCATCAGTTTGGATAGCTGTTGGCTACTGCTGACTGCCAGCTAGGAGCCAGCATAGTGAAACATTGATGGTTTTGGTAAGATTTTAAAGAGTGGGTTTATTGCCCTTAGGCATTAAGCCAAGTGACTCCCTCTGGGGTCCTCAGATGTGCATGCAGAATCAGACAAGGCCATTGCTTTATCCCCTCTGAGAAGGCAGGTCTGGATTTAGGTGTCTGAATTGTGTGCTGGGCTCTTCAGGCTTCACTTTCCCTGTAAATACGGAATCTGATTCCTCTGTGATGGATGCAGTACTCTAGTTGGGAAGTAAGCATCTTTTTGGGTGAATGTCTCTCTTCCCCGGGGATCCTGTGGTATTTTCTTACTAGGATTAGTGTGGTCCTCTCTCTTGTCTAATGTGCCTCCCTGGGCTCGGAGAAACTGGGGGACAAGGGTTCTAAGGCCATCTGGTCTTTGACACTTGGTATTAGATTGAAACGTCTTTCTAACACCTTCCAGGGAGTCAGAGCTTAGGTCCACTTGCCAGGTAATTCCCAGGTGACTTGGACACATTGTCATTCCACGGCTCCTGGATGTACACTCATAGCTCTAGGGCCACGGTTTCTCACCAACTGGCTCATCTTTGTTCTTTGGACCCTGCCATAGGCGAGGTATTAAGGTAGACAAGGGAACCCACTCCTGCTGGAATGAGCCAAGGCAAAGACCCTGAGTGTTAGCAGTTTTTACAGAAGGAACTGAGGCTTCACTCAGTGTGCTTCTCCTTGGCCTCATCTCACTGGGGTCTGGCTGTCCTTTCTCCTTACTAGGACAGTAGCTAAGTTGTCTTCAGACTGTAAGAAAAGTATGCCCAATGACCAGCCAAAGACATGACGTGTAAAGGAACAGTCTTGCTTGGTGGCATGCCCTTGGGAGCGTCAGCAGTGGCTCTCTGTATAGTGGGGGTGGGCAGGACACTCTTTCTTGGCTCCAGTTGGCAACATGTCTACCTTTTCTACACAGATGTAAGCCAAGGAAGAGATACCCCTGGCAATGACCCATGAGCATTCCTCACCTAGCATGGCATGGTGGCCCTTCTGAGTGCACTGAGCTGCTTGTGGCTCCTGGCTTCAGCACCCTCCCCATTCCATGCATCATCATCAGGATCCTTTGGTTCTCCTTGACCCAACTCTGACTTCATCTCATGGCTCTAGACGCAGGTAGACAGTGACACATGTAGCCCATCCCAGGCACCTTGAGCCTCAGGGAAGGTTGGGACTGTTGAGATTTGTATGGTGACTCTGCTTTGCTGAAAACTATTATCTTCCTGGTTCATTGAAGGGCTGGTGTTAAGGGGCAACCTTGTAAGGTTGATGGTAGAGGCTCAGGCCAGCCACTCTGTCTGCTCTGAGGGCAGTCGGGGAGCTGGGAGGATGCTTGCTCCTATGCTTGGCTAGACAATGAATACGTTTTAAAATGTGGAAATGACAGTGTGCTTCTGGGGTGTGGCTGTGTCATTCTCATTTGTACGTGAGAGATTTATTTGTGCACACACCCTCGATCACTAGGCTGATAACCAGAGCAGCTAACTGGAAGCTCTGGTGCTCTGGGGTGTGAGTTCCTATCTGTATCACACTCCGTCTCAGCAATTGCTGACATTGAACTTTTTTTCACCAATAATAATGGCAGGCCCACCTGGCTACTTAGTTCAGCTGGTTAAAGCTTGATGCTAACAAAAATGTCAGTGAGTGGTGTATAGGTCAACCTAACAAACACGTTTTCCTTGCCCTGCCCAACTACCCTGTCACCTGTGTCACTTGCACATTTTCCTTTTGCCCTTGCCTCCCTCAAATCTAGAAGCCTTTCCTCTGCCCCTCCTCTTGTGGGCCCCTCCCCCTGCCAGAGACATTGTCATTGTACAGAGAGCGCAGATACTCATTCCTGTGTGTTACCCTTCCAAAATATCCAGAGAAGTGGATGCTGATTTATAAAATCAGTTAATTGTGTATGTGTATAGGTGTGCCACAGTGTACATGTGGAGGTCAGAGGACAACTTGCAGGCGTTAGTGCTCTCCTTCTATCATATGGGTCCTGGGTATTGAACTCAAGTCACCAGGCTTGGTAGCAAGTGCCTTTACCTGCTAAACCATCTCATTAGCCCTGACTTAAAACAACAAAATCCAGCTTTATTTGCATACATTAAAATACCTCCATTTGAAGTGTATAGGTTAGTGCTTCTCCCTACCCCACACAAGTACACAAAGTTGTGTAACCCTCACCAGGTCCATCTTGAGAACATTACGGGAAAGCTGCTTTTCAGCGATTGTCAGGCGAGCTGAGTGGCTCCAAGGCTCACCGTGGCGCATAGTCAATGCTCATCCATCCCCAAGGTTCTTTGGCCCAGTGCCTAAGAGGAACTGACCAAGTGAGACTGAGCTTTGAAAGTTAAGAGGATGAATGATACCCACCGTCCAAGCTCAGCTTCCCAGGCAGTCTGACTGACCTGCCAGACAGTGGCCTCAGCAGCTACTTTCACCAGGGAGGTGGCCTTACCATAATGCATGGATGGGTAGGTTTGACAGGGCTCCTGGGGGTGTTCTGAGAGCCAGAGGGGATGGCAGGAGACATCTGTCAGCAAGAAGACATCTACACAAGTGGCAGAGGTGGAGAGCCATGTTTTTGAAATAGTATTTTCAGTTTTAAAATTTTAAAAATAAGCCTGTGGAGCATTTTGTGTTTCCTTTTTAACAAAGAACAGAGCTGGCTTTCGAAAGAAGTATGTGGTTGCCTGGGCAGAGAAAATAGCTTTTTTCACTCATCTTGTTTCCCTTGTGGAATGGGGGCGCACGTGGAGCTCTTTTTAGCAGATGCTAGCACCACGCTGTTAATGATGGCACTTTGCAGTCTGAGGTTAGTGTTCTGTTGTTGGCAAGGGCGTCACAGTGGAACAAGGTGGATCCTGGCACAGCATGGCATCCACTGCTCCACACCCTCCCAGGGCACCAGAAGGTCCTGCGAGGCCAAGCCTGCTCTCAGTGCTGTTCTTCCTGAGGTTATACCAGTGTTCTCCCTCGTAGGACCACAGACTGTTTCCCTTGTTTGCCACACTTCTCCCTCAGACACACATGGGAGCAACTCCTGCAAGACCCTGTTTATTGGCACCTTTTCAGTGTGGCCCCCCACCTTACCTCCTTGGCCTCCAGGACCTGTCCTCTCTACCCTGTCCTTGTAATTCCTTTGAGTAGACAGTCTGCCTTCAGTTGAAGTGCCTAGATCAGGGCCTGCTGTGCAGTGCATGCTCAGTGAACACAGCGTTCATGCTGAAAGCCTACTTCTGTCTCCTCTCTCTCCCCACCATGTTGCTCCCTTAAGCCAGGCATCTATGGCTGCTTCACTATACACTTGGATACATGAACAAGATCACAGTCAGGTGATGTTTAATCCCAGCTCAGTGACAGTAGTGTCTTCTGTGGGCCAGAGATGGCCCATAGAGCGCGCCATGCTACCTTGCCAGCTGCGTATCCAGTGTATGTACTGGTGAGAATGTTCTGCAGGAAGCCTTGTGAAGACCAAGGGGTCATATTTGCTCTAACTGTAAAATGAGTTAGAAATGTTGTATACAGCAGACCAGCTCTGGCTTCTCAGCAGCCAGGCCTCTCACTGTGCCACATACACATAGAAAACTAGATTTGTCTGACAAGAAGCCAGAGTATTAGCAAATTAATTTCTGTGATGCATCATAGAACAGTTGCTCTGGAAGAGACCATTGGTTTTTTTTCTTCCAAGGCTTATATCCAAGTACAGTGATGGTTTCCAGGCTTGAAAATTGCTGATCTCAGCTAAATCCATTAGAACAGAAAAGAGGGAGCCATGTAGGTGTGGAAGCCCAGAGGGGGAGGAGGTTTTTCAGAGGCACACAGCATGGAGGTCCCCTAGGTAAATGTGTTTAAAATTTTACATAGGGGCCTATGTTTGTGGATGTTTGGCTAGAGAGGTTCCCAGCAGAACTGGCCAGCACTGTTGCTTTGCCCTGGAATTTCTTCTAAATTCTCTTACATTTTGAGATTCCTGGGGGTCTTTGAAGGACCTGTGACCCCCATGTGTACTATGCAGGAGTCTGTCTGTGAACACAGCTGGGGCCTTTGAGACCAGCTGTCACTAGTCGGGCCAGTGGTCCTGAGTGTCCTTTGCCTGGTGGTGCAATCAGGGAAAGTGCTCTGAGCAGCCTTCTGGGCGTATCCCTCCTCCTTAGCCATGTGTGCTGCTGTGATTGAGGACACCAGAGACCCCGTTTCTGACCCTCCAAAGGAGAGACTGGAATACCCGTGCATCCTTTTTCGTCTTGGCTGACTGCCCCTTGGCCTGCAGTTTGCAGGAGTTTGGTTCAGACCTGTTCTGCCTTTGTTTGGAATGTTCACTGTATTGAATCCAGGACCCCTGGAGCCATAGGCTGTGCTCAGAAGGCCTCCAGGCTGTACTGCGGCAGGGAGGCAAGGAAGAAGAGCCCATAATGATGGCTATACCATGATGCAAGGTGGTTTGCCAGCATGCTTCTGAGTGTAGAGGGAATGATGAGTCCTGCCTGGGCAGGTCAGGAGGGCTCCCTAGGGGAGGTGGTGTTTGAGCAGGGCTTTGATGAACTCTTCACAGAGAAGGTGACATTCTCTTAGTTTTCTGTCACTGGAACAGATGTCCGAGATGATCAGCTTATAAAGGAAAATTTTGTTTTGGCTTTTGTTGTTGGAGATTCCAGCCCATGATTCAGTTGTCCTTAGAACTTTGGGGCCATGAAATGTGGTAGAGCAAAACTGCCCATCTTAGGGCCAGGAAGCCCAGGGTCCTCTTCAAGGGTGTGCCCCAATGACCTAAATTTAGACCTTCCACTCTTAAGGCCCCATCTCTTAAAGGCCCCAACATTTCTGAGATGTTCTACTCTGGGACTGACTCTTTAGCACACAATCCTTTGGGAGACATTCTAG